CTAGATATTAGTACTCTTTCTTGAAGAAGCCTCTCTGTTTTATATTTGGTGAAATGCATACTTAACACACGTGGCTGGGAATCCTCAGATGGCAAAGGGCCACAGGTGGCTCACAGGTTCTTGCAGGAGTTGTTTTCTCTATTGGGGAAGATAATGGGACTTGAAATATTTTTCCTTCCTTGAAAAAATGAACCATGTTGTGAGCTCATGAGACAGGACTGGGCAGGGCTCCTGGCTCAGCCATGATTCCTAGAGTACCTAGAAATGGGCCAGACCCTAGTCTAGATGCTGGGGACACAGTCCCTGCCCTCCTGGAACACACATTCTCTTCTTCAGATGTGTCCGTCAAGTCTTCAGGAAGACATCAGAATGTACACTGAAAACTCTGCTGTTTTGATGTATTCTCTCCTAACTTTTTAATGTTTATTATTTATTTTTGAATAGGCTATACATATACATGATAAATAGCCAAAAGATTTTACCAAAAGATTCATTTATTTTCCCGTTTGCTTCTTCACCTTTTCTCCTGCGACAGTCTCAATACTGTCCCCCTCTTCAGCCCCTGCAGGTGCCAGCCAGCCTTAAAGAGCAGAATGGACCTTGACGTGGTGAACATGTTTGTGATCGCAGGCGGGACGCTGGCCATCCCAATCCTGGCATTTGTAGCCTCGTTTCTCCTGTGGCCTTCAGCACTGATCAAGATCTATTATTGGTAAGTTAATGTTATAGTTACTGTTTTCAAGCGTATCATAATAGTGTCATCTTCTCTGCTTGTCCTTTTGGATGTTGTTCACCATTTTATCATGAACTATTTCAAACACACGGAAAAGTTGAAAAACATCAGTTTTTGAATTTTGGGAGTGTTTCTGAAGAATTGGTGGTAGCTTCTTACCATGTAAATTCTTTCAGGTTTCTGTTAGCGTCTTTGCCCAGGGGGCCACCCTCACTCCCAAAGTTACTGACTCTTCTTTAAGTGAGGATTGTGCACATTTATGGGGATTCCTTTGGTAGTTTTCTTGGTCGTTGGATTCTGATCCAGTGATGCTCTGACAGGTGCAGTGATGTGCACTGATAAATGAGTTAAAAAGAGCAGGACCGGGGAGATGGCATGGGTAGGACAGAATGGTCTTGGATTTGTTCTAAAAGCATTCATTTCTAAAGTAACAAAAAGAAAAAGATGTTTCCAAACTTTCTGTCATTCTTGTGCCACCTTTATGATGCTTGCTTTATCTGCATACCACCTCTACTTTTATATTTTCTCTAGAGTGAGTTACTTTTTTTTTGTAGCCTAAATCAATGTACTTTAAGAGTAATATAAATATCACTACCTTAAATGGAAAGCTTGCCATACATACCATAAATAGTAAATTAATATAAAAAAGCAAAAATAAGCAAGTGCCATTCAAACAATTGCAGCCTAGATACTGCTACCTACCAAAGATTCTGTGTCTCCATTCAGTTTTTTCCAAAATCTAAGACAGGTGGGAAAGATACAGCAGCACTGAACTGAGCCTCTCTCCTCGATAGAATCAGAAGGTGAGCAGTTGAAAAGAGAGTTACTTTCTCATGAGGCGTCAGTGACTTTTCATGCCACAATCCATTTACTGATTCAAATCACCCTCCCACCCCCATGCTATGCATCCCCTGGGGAAGGAAATACGGAAATAGACCCGGTTCCTCTTTGTGCACCCTGAGATTTCACTAGGACTTCTGGAAGTTAGAACTACCACCTGTGCCCAGAAAGACAAATGCAAGGAAGCTGCACTTGTGCCCTTTAACTGCCCTCCTTTCTGGCTCCCTTTTGTTTCATTAGAGTGTGGAATTTTCCACCTGCCAGCCAGGCTCTGATCCTTGAAGAGAAGCTAATTGAACAGAAGGGAGCTTTTCTTCTGTTGCTCTCTCTGGGGAGGTGGTGACCTCTTCAGAGGCCCACTCGGTATCCACCTCTGCATTGATGAAGTGCTGGGATGCCAGCTGTTTAAATGCTGTTGTCCTTGCAGTGCTGGCAGCAGGAGTGCTTTGGGGCCAAGACTCCCGTGTAGCCTGACATGGAGAGGCCAGAGTTGTGTACCCCCTGTGTTCCTGCAGAGGCACAGTGGACCTCCACACACAAAAGCCATTTTTTAAAATCAAATCAAACTGAAGCCGACA